GCTTATTTTAATAAAGCTCTCAGAAAACAATAATTAAATATATATGTGCATACATGTACAGTATATACATCTGATTAATTTTGGGAACTTATACTATTCAAATTAGCTGCCACAGCCGTTTGACCTCAGTTAACACAAAAATAGACATAACTAAATGCATTTTACAGCCATTCAACAAACAATTGGTGTGGTAGTAGTTGAGAATCATTCTCAACATGTATTTCAAGGGCTTTCAAATCACAAGAGATCTCACAATAATCGCATGTGATCGATCATAACATGCTTAAAATTTTGACTCAGCTGATAATGTTTTCGTCTTTCAGGATAAGGTTTTATCAGTTTAAAACTCGGACACAGAAGGTTGCGGATGATGTGCATTCCATCAAGCCTTTACTTCCAGTAATCAACTTTTGCATACCAAAGTAAATTTGCCGATTCTGTTTAAACCCATGCGTTTGATACTGTACACGTGTGCGCTTGTGTTAACAAGAGGAGGAGGGGGAGACACATTTGTGTGTGTGTGTGTTCGTGTGGGGGAGGGAGCTCCAGCCTGGTTTTTGTCTTTGTCTGTCAAGTAAATTATTTAAATCCCACAACAATTAAAGCTGAAATCTGTTATCAGCGCCCTCCATTAGAGCCCTTGTGTGTCTCCCTTGCTGCCTCTGTATGCTGCTGTGAGTTTGGAACAAGATCCCAGGCTTTGAATCTGAAACATACGTCGCGGAAGAACAAAGACTTAACAACACATGGCTTTGACCCTCATGTTCATGCTGAACATCTTCATCAGAAGCGTATGAATGCCCTCATTTACGTTTGGTCTTGTCGAAACATCATTGATGAGTTAATCTTAAAAGCCAGTTTTGATTCAATTAAATTCATTTAACTTCAAAAATACTTTCCCAAAGGAAAATTAAGTGTGGTCATAGCTCATCATCCTGGTTTCATTTAAGAGTTGTTATAGATGCTGATTGATAGCTGTGGGAAGGAAGGATCTCCTGCAGCAAATCCGAAGAATCTGGCCACAGATACCAATCTGTCCACTCAGATCCAGCCTTTTCTCAGATCCGGCGGGCCTCTTGGTCCTTCTGGGCAGCAGGATTGCCTGAAAGCTCCTCATCGCCATGGACAGACAGCTGAAGGTGCCGGGGGATGATCCCGGTCCTCCCGTTGTCACGAGCTGAGTTTCCCACCAGCTCTAGGATCTTGGCGGTCAAGTACTCGAGCACCGCCGCCAGGTTGACGGGAATTCGTCCACGGCACCTCCTTTTCAACTCATTTGGGATTTGGGGCTGTAGATGAAGTATTTGAGCTTTTGAGACATTAATCATCCACTCGTGATTGTTAAACAACACCTTATTGCCATGGTTACACATCATAACAAATGCCCAAAAGTAAAAAGGTTTCAGTGAAAATCCTTCCAGCTGCACAGCATTCGATACCAGAGGAAATAATCATCCAAAAAAAGTGATTGACATCCAGAAAAAGAGGAATTAAAGTTTTCAAAAGCAGCAACTCAGAATGAAAATAACAAAAGTGCTCCAACATCCATTCACCTCGAGTGGCGCAATTCTAGAACTAGTCAAACTAGGATCAGAGTGCCAGGGCCACTGCCTTTGGCTGTCACCCATAGTAGTTTTCATCCAACTCATATAACCCCTTCTGCAGGTGATGAGTGCCTGTAGCTCCAGGGTAGCACCCAGTAACCTACATCGGGGTGAGGCACATTGAGCTCTTTCCTGTCACCTAGGACCAATCTGCCTTGGGAGACCCTACTTGGGGCAATAGCCCATGACAGCATAGCTCCTAGAGTCATTCAGGCACAAAAACGCCTTCACCACGATAAGGGAATGATTCAAGGAGGAGCCTCTTGTCACTACTCCATAACTTTTATGAACAGAATTTCTTGGTGCAGTCAGGGGTGGATTGGGTTGATTCGGTGATCTCAGCATTCTGTCTCAGCTGTATGCAGATGATGGCGTCCTGTTGGTGTCATTGTGCTGCGATCTCTAGAGCTCTTTGCAGTCAGACGTGAAGCAGCTAGGACGGCACCTCCAAATTTGTGGCCATGGTCCATGGTGGTTGGGAGTGAGGTTTTGTCTCATCTTAAGTATTTCAGGGTTTTGTTCATGGGTGAGGGAAGATCAGAGCATGAGATCAAAAAAGGGTTGGTGCAGCTTCTGCAGTGTTGCAGATTCTGTGTTGGTCTGTTGTTGTGAAGAAGGAGCTGAGCTGCAATTTGAAGCTCTCTGTTTACTACATTCCTACCCTCATCTATGGTTCTGGACTCTAGGAGGTGACAGAAAGACAAGCTACGCCCATGCCAAGCTAGAGTTACCAATCAGCCTAACATGCATGTCATGTTTTTGATCTGTGGGAGGAAACCGGAGTACTCGGAGAAACCCCACGCAAGCACGGAGAGAACATGCAAACTCCATTCAGAAAGGTCTGGGATTTGATCTGGCAACTTTCTCGCTGAGAGACAGCAGCTCTACCAACTGAGCCACCGTGTTGCTTGCATGTTCAGGTCATTCTAAATTTAAAAAATATATATAATTGTCTGTTTCAGTAGATTTCCTGATAGCAGGGCAATTAAACTTTTGTTTGGTCCCTCAGCTTTATGTTCACATCTTATTCCTCCGTTCTTTAAATCCTTCACTCCCTTCTTTCCGTGCCATTACTCCTCTATGGATAGTTCTTCTTCTTTTCCTTCCAATTTTATCTCTTTCTCCCCTTCAGCCACTTATTATTTTTTTTATTACTACAGCAAACCATCCATTAGTCCACGTAGAGTGGAGCCTCACCCACAGTGTGTGAGTGCACTTTGTGTTGGACGTTTGACTCCAATAAATCTTCTTGGGAAGACTTTTGCTTCTTCCGTGACCACACACGAACATTTTTGTCATTACAGTTTTATTATAAATCAAAACTTTTGTTTTTTTGTTTTCAACATTAGAGACATTTTTTCATCAAAGACACACTGTAGCTTTTCACAAGTGTGAAGTTAGTTTGGAAATAAGAAAAAAAGACTAAACATATTCAAACTTTATTTGCAGGTTGGAAACAAAATTAAAAAAACTATTTTACATCTAGGAAAATGCTTTGTTTCTTCTGTTTAGAACAACAAGTTCTAGTTTCTAATAGTCTGGGGTCTTCCTATGTGGGGTTTTCCCCGGGTACTCTGGTCCACCCCCCCACACAGTTTAAAAACCTGCAGGTGTATGCTGCCTTCAGGCCTGAGTCTCCCTAAAAAAAAAAATAATAAAATCTGTGCTCTCAAAGGGATTTACTTGATTAAATAAAGAAAATGTTGTCCTCCAATGTGCATACAAAAGTAAACTAGTTTTTGCATGACCAGTTAGAGCGCTGTTGCCAATGACTCTCAGCTACTACCACACCACATTAAAGCTCAATGGCAGCTGTGGCAGCCATTTTTCACCCATCTTTCTGTATTTAACAATAAAATGAAGACTCTGTTCTTGACTGAGTGGAAACATTAATGAATGTATCAAACAATTTTCAGTCAGGTCATCTAGACAGTTTCTTTTTTTTTTTTTTGTGCTGAAACGTTTCACCTTCCATCCAGAAGGCTTCATCAGTCAAGGAAACACACAACACAAAACTGATTCTTCCCCCAACAGCTTACTCCAAAGTGGAACAAACCAGTTAGGTTGGTGCTAAGATGGCGTCTTTGGCACGCACCCTCCTCTGGTGCCAGCCCTCTTCCTCTTCGACAGTCATGTCAAACTGGTTCAAAACAAACAACGTCCATGCTCAATAATCCAGGTATACAATCCACCAACATAACTGGTTTGTTCCACTTTGGAGTAAGCTGTTGGGGGAAGAATCAGTTTTGTGTGGTGTGTGTCCTTGACTGATGAAGCCTTCTGGATGGAAGGTGAAACGTTTCAGCACAACAACAACAGCAAAAAAAGAAACTGTCCAGATGACCTGGCTGAAAATTGTTGGATTATATACCTGGATTATGAATGAATGTAAAATACCTACAAATTTTTACAGAATATTTAACATGCTGCACACAAATCAAAACTTCAAACAAAGCTCATTCCAAGTTATTACACGTCTCTTTGCCCATCTCCTTTTTTCTGGAAAGCATTTGTTTGGAAGATTCCAGGTTTTCCATTTCACTGTTGACTTTGTTCCCACTACAGTCCTGATGGGACCTCTTAAAGCGATAGGGTTGCTCATTTTTGTAGTGATCTTCTTTATCAACAGTTATCTTTTCAGCTGTGACGTCACCCATAGAGTCCCAGTGTGGAGAAAAGGGCAGAAACCCAAAGCTGGACCGAACGTACTGTGATATTTTTCGCTCATATTTTCATGTCTTCACTCCATAACCTTTCTGTGTCTCTGATGATTTCATCTTCATGTTTCTAACTGTACAATGTGCAAATACAGACTTTATTCTATATGATAAATTAGCTCCAAAAAGATGTGAGGCTAAAACTTTTCACTTTTTTCTGTGCTGGAGTATATTGACAGTTGGACATACCCTGATTAATACATTGCATTTTGTTGTTTGTGTGTGTGTGTGTGTGTGTATGTGAGGTTTTGTGCATGCACAGTAAAGCTCATCCATCTCTGTCTCAGGTTGGAAATGCAGTGTGGGTCTCTGGTGGGATTTTTGGATCCAGCTCTGCTTAGAAAGCACACCCAGACCGATTTCTCCTTCTTTATGCCACTCCTGCTTTCCTTTGGGCTCTCAATTTATTCCCCGTCTTGTGTTTTTCTGCCTCTACTGCCTCTTTTACTCACTTTTTGACCTTCACTTACCCCTCACGCTTTTGATAGAGACAGACATAACCTTTGGTTTGAAATCTTAATTTGTATAACTCCATCAGCCAGACTGATTCTGGGTGCTGCCCGGAATACAATTACGCTATAAAACGTGTGCGGACTCCAATAAACAGAGCAACACTTGAATCAAATTCACACATTTTCTATGTTTGATCAGTATTTTGGTCTTCCTTCTGTGTTCCCAGTGATCTTCTGTCTTCGGGGTACGAGGAGAGGCATTTGACTGAAAATGGGAAGATAGTCGTCACCAGTGTAAGATTCTGCAAATCCTCCTTCATTCTCACTCACAACACACTTCCACTATTTCACAGTTTGGACTTAAGATTTAGCAACTTCTATCCCAAAGTTAACATGCTGTCTGCATTTAATGATTTGGAGAGGAAAAACATTTAATTTCATGTTCATGGAGTCAAACAGGTCATCCTCTGCCAAATCTGAATCCTAGTTAATCATTAAAAAAAAATGTTCTGGATCTGCACGTTATTTGTCCATGATGCTGTCAGAACCAGATGGTTTGTTATAGTAAAACGTCTAGTGAATGGTCTGAGGAAACTCCTTATTCTCCTAAAGTACATTTATCTGTCACTTTCACAAGCAAGCCTCAGCAAACCCAATCATTAAGCCACCTCGAGTGGAATCGTTTAGGAAGCCATTCAGAACAACAACAGCTCCTTTCACATCTAGAACTAAATGTTCTTTGTGTTTTAATTAGTAACAACCCACTGTTGCCTGGAAAACATACCGTATTTAAGTGTTTTTACTACAAGGGAGGAAAGATGGATTATCTAATCAGTCAAAATCTCATGAACATCCAACTTTTAGCAGCACTTTCCTTAAAGTTTTATTAAATTTGTCAGAATAATTGTTGCATAATTTTGCTCATTAACAGACAAACACGGAGGCCTCGTGGGTCATTTTGACCCAAGGGCAGCAGAACTTTGCTGTTTTGATTTTTATTCATAGTTTCATCTTGTAGGCGAAAAATAAAACAAGATGGCAGAAATACAGTAAATATAAAAAGATTACAATTCACAAGTTAGCAGATAACTGGTGAACTTTGATAACTTAACTTTAAAGGAATGTAAATATTGTTTTTTAAAATGAGATATTATACTTTTTATCACTTCTTTTCTTTTTAAAGTTTTCTTTTGGATTATTTGTCACCTGTCTGCCAAACATTTTTAACCAATCAGCTTCCCAGAGCCTTGTCAGAATCAGAGTCGGCTTTATTGTCATTGCACTGAAGTGCAATGAAATTACATTTCAGTACAGCCCGTCCAAGAGAAACATAACAAACAGACATGGGGAGACACAGATGACTGAGGCCTCTGGCCTTGAGAGGCGCAGCCTTTTTTTCAGATAAGGAAAATGAAACATGAGTGTGAGAGTAAAAAAAAAAAAAATCAAATCTCGCACTGTGTCCTACACGGGACACAGTGTGAAAGTTGCAAAAAAATTACCTCAGCACATGAAACAGCAACATACTGATGACATCATAATACATTTATGCATGAGGAGGCCGACAAGGGCAATGAATTGTCTGTGGACACTGCCAGAAAGTTCCATAGTCCTGATAAAGATGGCACAGTGTCTATCAGCCAGCTCAACTCTGACACAGATCCACAGATGTCCTCGGGAGGGGAGCGATTGGGGGGGGGGGGGGGGGGGGGGGCTTCTTGTTCACATAAACAGCCAGGAGAAGTCTAGTTGGCCAATTCAAGGCCAAGTGGGGAAGCCAAATTCAGATTACACAGTTATTTTGGGTCAGGCAGCCTCTGCTTGATTTCTGTGTCTGTCTTCATAGTTCTGCTGGTACGTCTTACTGGCGATTCCAAACAGCCAACTTTTGTGGTCACACCGCCGGACCGAGCTTGTAGCCTTCTCCAAGGTCGATTCCTTCCCATCAGTGAGTCCCAGGAGCCGTAAGTGGCCTGCGACTCTCAGAAAGCGCATCCAGCTCACGGCTCAGCTCAGCCTTACAATTGCCAGAACCGATGCCGCCGTCTTCCGAATTTGTCGATATGCCGGATACCTGCCAACACCAAAAAGCAGAAATCCGGTTATCATAAATCTAATTATGTACGTGTCTTCTACGTCCTTAGCGGACAATGCAGGAAGACACACCATCTTCCACTGGCCACAGGAATCCATGGTATATCCAGCTGCAAATGTCCTTCGAGGGGATGAGGGCTCTCCTTCGCCCTGTCTTCTTGTTGAGAAAATTTTATCAGTTGCGTTGAGAGACCAGCTGACCAGATCCATAATTTACAATTTGGAGGACATGTAGTGACAGACTCTGATAGGAATCACAAGACAAAGAGCAAAGCAGGAAGGAGGGCAAGAGCAGGAGGGAAGGCGTCCGTCCTCGTCCAGAGCAAGCAGGGGGAAAAAAAGAGAGACAGGATTGCAAATGGAGTATCAGACAGAAGAAAACAAGTGTCTGCTACAATGGACAGCATGAAACTAACACCAGTTTTATCTATGGCCTTAATTATTTAGCCTTTGTAAAATATATATTTATATTTCTTTTAAGAAAGAGCCACATAAAACGACAAATGAGCCCTGTAGGAACCCTCAATTCAGCCCTTTGAAATGTTTTTTTTTTTTTTCATTTAGCCTTTATTTATCCAGGTTAGTCTCATTGAGCCACGAGAACTCATTTTCAAGAGAGACCTGTTTAGGGAGCACATGGTGGGGTTAAGGGCCTTGCTCATGGGCCCAGAGTGGGGCGAATGAGGGTGGGGGCAAATGTGGGTGTTTCACCTACCCCACCCACAATTTTTTTGATGTTGTCGGGCCGGGGCGTGAACCGGCGATCTTCGGATCACAAGCCCACCTCTCTAACCTCTGCGCCACCACTCCCCCTCAAATTATTAAGTATTAATTGTGTACAAAACAAAAGAACAGATAAAAATCTTATGAAAACAATAAGCTGGTCTCTGTCCAAGTATTATCAAGATATGTTGTCACATATCCCATGTGAATATCGGCTGAGGAACAGCAGGATTCATGTTGCTAAAATTCGAAGCAGATGTATAAATTTTGCAGTGACTTCAGGAAACAGAATGAAGATTTGTTCTCTGTTTCAGTTTCCTGAAGAGTCAGCATGTTTTATTCTGTCTCTCTCAGATTTTCACAGGTTGATCAACATGTTAGTTTTCACACAGTGAGTAATAATAACTCATCAAACTTAGTTTTTTTTCTGAAGCAGCAGCATGAGTTGTAAATCTCTAGAAACCTGAGTGGATCTGTCATCTGAACCTTCATCTTTTTAAAAACCAGATTAAGATTGCTGTGATAATCCTCTGAAATCTAGACACATCAGTTTCACTCACGATACATCACATGCTGTAACTGAGGGGATTATAATGCTCAGGATTTCCTCCGCTAAGCACCAGATTAATGTGAGATCAGATACTTTTCAGAGAATGATCCAAATGAGTGCTGCACATCTTGTACAATGGTCACCATACCGCAGTCATTTATGAATTAATTTACTCTGTAGATGAACGGCGGTCAAAATGTCAGCCGCTGTAACGCAGCTGCTGAAAATTTCCCTTTAAAAATTGGGAAAAGAAAACTTCTGATTTGTAAATCAGTAACTTTCCCATTTTTATTGGCATATATGATCCCAACTGTACATACAATATTAATAATAATAATAAACTCAGTAATTTTGAAAATTCATTGCAAAACTTTGCCTTAAAGTGAATGAGACTTTTGATTAGCATAAACAAAATGTATTATATATAACGATATAGTACGTTCATAAGCGAGTTATTTAATTTGTGTGCCTGTGCAAGTGTTTATTTATCGCTCAGACTGTCAGCCAAATATTTCTTGAACCACTTTTTATTGAAACTCTCAGAAATAAATAATTGGATCAACTTCAGAGCAAACATAAATGTATATAACTTTAGATACTGAGCTAAAACCAGGTGTGGTCGTATCTGAGTCAGCCACAACACATAATCTGAGAACTAGCAAATTGCATAATATCACATGTGATTGTGCTCATTATTTTCAGAATTTCACCAAAATGACTCTCCTTGTCATTTTCTTAACACATAAACATAGTTTAAGTGTCGTGTGAAAGGCGATGGGCGATATGCATTCCTTGAAAAAAATATTAGGCCTCTTATTCTTTAATGTGTGTTTGTCAAACTTTAGTGTCCTATTTGATTACCAAATGTTCGATCTTAAACTTTGTGTTTGTGCAACTTTGAAGATTTACCCTTGATTTGGTCAAAGGAGATTACAGAAATGACCAAGGTAGCAACTCACACTGTGAGGATGAACCTGCACCAATTAATGAGGAGCAGAAGGTTCAGAGAGGAGAGGCTCGAGGATAGTAGAGCATCTCACTTATAAATAGCTCCGTCTCCTCATTTCACACACTGTGTCTTCAGCCAGCCTTTTGCGCTGCACGTGCTGCTTCATCTAAATAAGTCCATCATCCTTTTACACATTTTCATACATTCATTCTCTCTGTCAAGTCCACATAACGTCAGTACTTTTTCATCAAACTAGAATAAAGTTGTTTCAGCTGACTTGAATATATAGAAGCAGCTCTTAAATAAGCCAGGTCTGAAAATAGTAAGCAGGACTTTAAAAAAAAAGAGGAAAGTTGCAAATAATTGTGATAAGCAACAACAAAGAGAAAGCCTGAGCATTTTTTCTTCAGTAATTTATGAAGACAATTCATGCAGACAAGTTCCTCGCATGCTAACGTGCTCCAATTTGATGTACCATTGATGTCTTTTTCCAACACATTCATTCCCCAGGCACTGGAGCAAGACAATTCCATCCTTTAAATAGCCTTTAAAAAAGCAATACTCCCCGACTGAATGTATTTTATTTGATTTTCTTGGGCCATTAATGATACTAAAAGATTCTAAAAAGACATTTCAATTAGAAAAAGCTATGACATAAATACGTTAAGTAACACATCCTCGCACAACAAAGCAGAGTGCAAGGAAGCAAACACAGCAGCACTTTCTTTATCAGTAATTAAAATAAAAAATTCAGCCTCTGGCAGATAAAAAATATAGATTCATTCAGCTGTTTTGTTCTGTGGAGCCAAAAAGGTAAATCTCAGACGTGGCACAAAGACTGAATTAACTGCTGAGCACTTTTGCTTACCTCTCTCAAAAATGTGATTAATTTGTTTTTAAGTAAATCTGCTTTATTTAAAAAAAAATGCAATTTTAAAAATGATTTAGCAGTAAAATGAAGGGTAGATTTTAAGTAGATGTTGCTTCTGACTGACTGAAGGGAAATATATACTTGTATAAAAGTGTAAATATCATCCAAGTCCGGTGTGTCTAAGACTTTTAAATAAAGTTTTGCCATACATAAGAGGCTTGTTTCCTCTCTTACAATGAAAAACAGCAGCGTTTTCAAAGGTTCTGCATGATCTGTAAATAATGCATGAATAAAAATAACCTTTAAGAGCATGTTGGTCATCAGAGGAAATCATCAGCTGATCTGTTTCTTCTCAATATTCACAAAGAATATAAAAAATTAAAAAATCATTCAGGACTAATTCATTTCTGGAGGAATTGTAATGAGAGAAAACTTATTGTCTCTTATTCTTTCTCAGCTGCTGAAGCTGAAATCTGTCAAAGTGTTGATTATCTAATGTCCATCAGCTGTGAGTTCTGGTTGCCATGGTGATGTCTGGTGCAGCCTTTTCATCTCACCCAGTCGAGAAACTTGTAGAAAATTAGTCTCAAGCTGCTGCGATTTTCAGGAAGCTGTGATCGCACGTGAGTGTTGAGAAGCGTTCTCACACGTTTTTCTGTGTTTTCTATCTGTGGTATATAAAAAAAATAAAATAAAAATTAAAGCACGGGTGAGGTGAAATAGTAATTTTCAGTTTTGTTAAAATACATTAAAAATAACATCTTTAGTATCTCCTGCTGCCGAACGTAAATAAGACAATAGTCTGTGTTCTGTGTGTGTTTGTGCGAGTTAGAAAAAAAACCACTGGATGTGTTTTAATGAAACTTTCCAAAAAAAAAAAAAAAAGGATCTACAATGAATTTACCTTCCCTACTTTTTACTCTGAGCACTATCTGAGACTGAGCATTATCTCCTCTAAGAACTTTGCCCCTTAACTGTTAGCAAAATAGCTCAAGAAGCAGTGGATAAAGTTGAATGAAACCTTCACAAAGTAGTCACTGCATGAACATCTGCAACTGATTTACTTTTGGAGCCAACCTAATCCAAAATGGTTGCCACAGCTAACTGACCTCTAGAAACGCACAAATGTCTCCAGCTCATCTGATTTTACAGATATTGAGCTAAAACTTGGTGTGGTGGTATCTGAGAGTCACCCCCAACACATACTCTGAGACTGACCTCTTACGAAATGCCTCGAGATCAAACGTGCATTGTTTGAGCAAAACAGCCACGATGGTCTTGGGTTAAAAGTGGCGGGCGATATGCATTCCTTCAAGGAATGGTAGTCCTTTAATATTACTGTGGTCGGTGTACTTATACAACGAAGCATTTGTGAAGCTTGGAACAGAGTAGGATTGAGAGGTTCATCTAAAGGTGAAACACCACAATCATAATGGCTCCAGTTCACGTCTCCATTTCTTGTTGCTGGTTTTATAAAACCCAGTGGTCGAGGTTCAGTGGGAGACCCGAACTAAGAAGTGAGCGTTGAAGTGCGCTGCTGTCCACAGCATCAAACTTTAGAGCGGAAATTGATCCTCTGATAAAAGCTGCGTTTCCTCGGGGAGACCGGCTTCCTGCCTAATGGCTGATCGGCAGCGAGAAATGGACCAGGAAGAGACGGCCAGCAGAGCACTTAGACATCATTCACGTGCGCAGACAACGAGCGTTTGCACATTCACACACAGGCAGCTGGAGATGTAAAGAAATGCTGATAGAGATGGAAAAACAGATCACAGCAGTGAGGTGATGCAGCTTCTTCTGAGAAGTCTGGACTCGGAGTCGGACCGCTGATGGCGTCATGTGAAAGCAACAAACGCACACGATGCACCGTCACATGTCACACACGTCACACCTGCACTTGTTCACAAATAACGTGTGACTGATCACTCTGGACTCATTTTTTGATTAAACATTGACATGAAAGTGTCACAAAGTTTTTCATCGTATGTTTCACACACAGGGAGGGGAGCACTGCTACTACCAGGGGAAGGTCAGAGACGTCCCTGACTCCTTTGTGGCTCTCTCAACGTGTCATGGACTGCAGTGAGTACAGACTTTGTGTGTGTGTGTTGTCTTATCGGCTGTCGGTACCTCAGTGTGCTCAGGTTCATGTGGTCTTGTTGCTATTTAGGTCAAACTAATTAGTCTTTCCTGTCTGCTTTCATTCTGTGACAGGGGTTATCATTCACTCTTTCATCTTCCCTCTCCTCTCCTCTTCTCCATCCATTTTTTTTCTTCTGATCTTTCCTCTTTCCTTTGCCTAACTTTGGTCATCTGCTTGAAGTTGGTGTTCTATCACTAAAAAGAAAAAACTATTTGGGCGAAGGACATGTAGCTCATACAGAGTGACTGAGTGTTTCTGTGCAGGTTTTGTGTAATTAATTCTAAACTGAATGACAGGAAATCCTTTGTTAAAATGGGTGGAGCAATTCCTACATTTTTAAAATTAATCTCTTTATTCATTTATCTCTGCTGTCAAAAGGCAAAGCGATAATGTTTTGTGTGTGTGCGTATGTGCATCTGCACATGTCTGTCTGTACCATTTCTAAAATACAGTATGCCATGAATCACGGGACAAATTTGAATGAACCTCTCAGGAACTAAATATTCGGTTGATCTCTGCAACTAACAAACTTTGAAATTCAACCAGATACAAGATGGCTGCCACAATCGCAAACCCAATAGTAGCTTTAACTTTGTCATTTGTGCAGATATTGAGCTAAAATCAGGCATGGTAGCAGCTGAGAGTCTTTCACAACAAACCGATCTGGCACCATATTGTTATTGTCAAGGTTTTATTCAAATAGTTGAATTTCTCCACATAATATGATAGTTTAAAACACGTGTCAATCTCGAGGCCCGGGGGCCGAATGTGGCCCTCGTTGACATCTTATCTGGCCCTCAAGATAATATGTAAAACATAAAATACTTCTATCTCTTGAATTTTTTCAGTCATCTTTCATTATGATGTCGAAAGCACAACAGAGAACATCAGATGAGACCAATCAAACTCTTGTTGAGGAACCTGTGACCAAGAAAATATGCTGGGTATCTGATTTGAGTTGATGTAGATTCTAAAATCAGCCCCTAGTTTGAAAAAGGTTTTAATTTTGCCCCCCTTTTGTAAGTGAGTTTGACACCCCTGGACGTGCACATCTTCATGGAATGCTAGGCCTTTTAATTTCACAAAGAAAATGTAATTGTTTTGAAGTCTCCTGGTGGAGTAATAGTATTTAACACCGTTCAGAGCAATCTGCTTTATCTAATTATCACGTTCTGGTGTCTTTGCAAACATTATAACCCACACTTGATCCTTGTCACTGAATCAAAGCTGCTCATTACCTTTTCACTTCATCCCAAAGTCAGGTTGAATGAACCAGCTAATCAGAGTAGATGTCACTTCGGCTCATTATCACAAGTGCTGGAAGTCTGTTTCATACCTGCTGACTAAGCCTGCAGTCATATTTACATATTTTATGGGAGTGTGGGAAAGTTGGGGCGTCTGTCAGCACAGCAGATTATGTAACACTACACGCACAGTAACAGAACCGGGGCTTGAATTAGGCTAATTGAAACGAGCTGATCACTGTATATTAAGACTGTTGTGTTGTTGCACGTCAGCTCTGAATATTTTTCTTGTTCAGAAAATTTAGAAGTAATATTCCATTTTAAATGTGTGGGTGAAAGAAAGAGAGACAGCGTGAGGTAGTGAGGAGTCATGGGTGGGGTTACACATTAGAAGGAGTGGTTTTTCTTGTGCTGAGTCAGAAGTTTATCTTATTATATACCCTGCTTTCTCTTCTACATTCCCTTTACACACACATACACACTGGAGGACACACACACACACATATTTACACTGCAATTCAATAGGCTATTAGCTGTATATGGAGGGAGAGTGCTCGCAGCTACATCCGTCATTTAAAAGGATGTCGGTCAATCATTGATCTTGGTTCCTGGTTGAAAAACCTTTTGACTGAAATGCAGGCAAAATAATAATAATAAATAAATAAAAACTACTGAATGTATTTAAACTTAAATCTGTATAAAATCTTTTATAGTTAAGCAAACATTTGTACTGTGAGTAAGTCTTTTGTGTAAAAATGAAATTTAAATTCTATTCTATGAAGCAGCTACAAACTTTATATATATATATATATATATATATATAT